TCAAGAAGTGAGGAATCTTGGGGCAGCTAGGTGGCGCAGTGGATAGAGCTCCAGCCTTGGAGTCAGGAGGACATGAGTTCAAATCCAACCTCAGATACTTGACATTTACTAGCTGTGTAACCCTGGGAAAGTCACTTAACCCCAATTGCCTCACCAAAAAAAAAAAGAAGTGAGGAATCTCTTAAGAGGTACCCAAGTCCTTTGTGCCAGGTGAGAGCTTTTGGTAGGAACTCACACAAGTTTGTGGCTGTATCGGAGTAATGGTACCCCTTGGCAACACACACATTATGGACAGGCACAGAGATGGAGATGCCTGGGTGGGACTGCTTCCCTACCTTTAGTCAGACAACTAAAATCTCTCTATCTTCTCAGGGTAGTGAGAAATTTACCTCCCTTCTCTAGGCCCATTTCCTCCTCTAAAATAAAAGAGTTAGGCAAGATAACCTCAGAGGTCCTTCTCAGTTCAGCTAATTCTGTGGCTCCACGCCTTCATTTCTAAAACAGGCCATCATGAGCAGCTGTGATGCAGGACTTACCTACATATTCACAGGAAACCTGTGTGATCCCAGGCCAGGGCCACATTCCTGTGAAGCCCAGGGTTCCAGTTTGCAAAGCCTTGTCCTAGATGCATGCTGCTTGGACCCTCCAACTTTCCATGCCCCAGAAATGAAAATGGGAAATTACCCAGAAATTGCTTTTATTGTTGGCTGCAGACAGGGCAGGAAGACCCATCTTCTAAGTCACTATTTTCTATGAGGAGATTGCTTTTCCTATTTAACTTTCCTCTCCCTCTTCGCAGTGAAGCCTCAGTCAGCCTCCAACTTTACAAACTAAACCCAAGCCCCTGTCGGATCTTTGGCCAGAAGAGACAGAATCTAAAACAAACCTTACTGCCATCTGCACGAAGGAAGTTGAGGATCATGGGATTTAGAGTCAACAGAGACTTAGAGATGATAGAACCCAGTGAGGGACTGACAACATCAAAGATGTATCTGGAGGAATATGTCCATTGCAGCATGACTAATAATAGCGAAAAGCCAGAAATAAATTATCCTCCCAAGATTGGAGCCAATAGTGGCTGAACATGTTGTGGTATCTGCAAGTCTCTTACAATGCCGCAAAGGATGATGATGAAAAATTCAAAGAGGTTCAGAAAAACATGAAGGAAAAATTGGGACAGTGTGATGCAGTGGTCAAGACCCGGTACATGTGACCAAAGATTCAGAAGCTGAAGGAGACCTCAGAAGCCAGTTAAGTCCAACCCTTTCATGTTATAGATGGGGAAACTGAAGCCCAGAGTGGTTAAATGACTTGCCCAGGGTTACACAGCTGGTAAGTATCTGAGGCAGGACTTCTAGTACAGACAAGTGGCAGCAAGAGAGAATGCTAGACCAGGAATCAGGAAGACCTGAGTTCAAACCCAGCCTCAGACACTTACTGGATATGTGACCCTGGGCAAGTAATTATTTTGGTAATAGTAATATAATAGTTTGAGGTTTGTAAAGAGTTTTATGAATACTATTAGATCCTTACAGCAACCCTGGGAGGTAGGTACTATTATTATTATTCCCAATGTATGGTTGAGGAAACTGAGGCAGGCAGTGGTCAGGTCACTCAACTTCCATCCATCTCAGTTTCCTCATCTGTAAAATGTGAATTAATAATAACTCTCACGGTTGCTATGAGGATCAAATGAGACAATATTTGTAAATTGCTTTGCAAACTTTTGAAACCACTACATAAATGCTAGCTGTTATTCTTAACTCCAAATCCAGGCTTCCACACGACAGCCACAGATTCTTGGTCACTTGTGTCACTTATTATCTATGCGACCTTGGGAAAATCACATTTCTTTGGGCTTCAGTTTCTTCACCAAAAAAACAAGGTTGGAGGGAAGGAGATGACCTTGATGATAAGGTCCTGAATAACTCTAAATCTATGATCCCATGGCCCTAAGTGTTATAAAGTGCACAAGGCAGAACCAAAAGAATAATATACAAAGTCACTCTAACTAGATGCATAAAGACTACTTCAAACAGCACCAACACTCAGAACAAACACAGTGGACAATGTTTATATCCATTTCTAAAGCATTATTTGGCCTTTCTCTTACTTAACAAACAGAAAAAACTACTGAAGCATGAAGTTGCGTCATATCCCCTGAGCATGCATCGGACCCTACGATGTGCCAGGCAAGTCAAAGACAGAACCAAAAAGTAAAAACAACCCAACAAATCAGTCTTTGCCCAACTCTTTGTGACTCCATTTTAGAGTTTTCTTGGCAGATATATTAGAGTGGTTCCTCATCTTACAGATGAGAAAACTGAGGCAAACAGGGTTACGTGACTTGCCCAGGGTCACACAGCTGGTAAATGTCTGTGGCCAGATTTGAACTCACACAGGTGAGTCTTCCTGATTCCAGGCTGGGCATTCTACCCACTGCACCACTAGCTGCCTATTTGAGGGGAGAGAACGCTAGCAACTAGAAAGGAATCAGGAAGGGCTCCTACAAGAGGCGACCCCTTCCCTGGGTTTTGGAAAAGGCCAAGGATCCTCAGAGGCAGAGGAGTGCTATCAATCACCATCTCTCTTTTATTCATCTTTTACTTAATTGTCTTTTAGGAATTGTAGCCACATAGGGGATTTAACTGTGAGTGTGTTGAGGTTTTGTAGACTGTACCAAAACAAAATTTATCTATAAAAAAGGGAAAACAAATTATCAGGAGGGGGTTGGCCTCTTCAGCATCAGTGACTCAGTTTATCAGGATGAGGTGATCTCAAAACTCCCTTCTGGCCTTGACAATCTCCGTCTATGATAATGGTGGTTCCTGGAGGGAGAGAGAGGGTAGGAGTTCTTCCCAAGGGTCCCTTCTGGCACTACACCCTAGATCTATAACTCCGGTTGCAAAGACTTTGTTTTTTCCTAATTGCCTTTTTACACACATTTAGAACATATAATCCTTCCTGGGTCAACTTGTTCCTTTAAAGACTGCATTGAGCAAAAGGCATGAATGTCTCTGGATGTCTCTGGGTAACCTGGAAGATTTAACTTCAAAGTTCCTTCTGTTTATCTCTTAGAAGCTCATTTTACAGACAGATTAAGGAGGCTTTCCATTAGCCTTCTGAGAAATGGGCAGTGATTAGTCGCATTAAATGGTGAAATTCATGCTTCTGTTGAAGCTTTATCAGCTGAGGGGATGGGGGGCGGGGAGGAAGGGAAGAAGCTCAGAAGACTCTTTTTCAAAGAAGCACCTATCACAGCTTGAGAAGTACAGAATGGGCTCAAGGCTGAGCCTTTGCTACCTATTCCACAGCAATCTGAAAGGAAAGGATTCCTACCCATCTCAGGCTACAGGGAAGGCCAGTCAGGCTACTTCAAGAGCAAACCTGCCACTGAAGCACTCAGACCTTGGTTTGCAGAGGCAGAAACCCTTGAGAGAAGAGGGAATTGTAAGAAAAGGGTGGTAAAGGCAGCAGACAGATCAAGAAATGTGAAGACTGAGAACAGACTGGAGGATTGACCAATGAAATTAGATAATAAGGTTACTACCAGCTTAGAAAGGACAGTTTCAATGGAGTAGGTAAGCATGGAACCCAGAGTACAGGGTGACACATGGATGAGTGTGTGATGAGGAAGCAGAGACAGCAGGGAGAGTTGGCTGTGTCTAGAAATTAATTAGTGAAAAGGAAATAAGAAATAAGATGGCAGCTAAAAGGGGGGAGGAAAACAAGCGGGGGCCAAGTTAAAGATTAGAGAAACCCAGGCACGACAGTGACTTGAAGGGGAAGAGCCAATGTTGAGAAGAGAGAAGATTCAGGGCAGAATGCAGACAAATTTTCTGATTTTATAATTCTCTATTTGTCTTTAGCTTTCCTTTCCAATCTTGTGATATTCTGAACTTTGCATTCTTGACACAGTTGTTATGGGACTATGCCCCCTCTTCAGTATTCATCCTCCATTACATGCCCTTGCCTTTAATCCAGGGCTTGTAAAAATCTTAGCTGGTTGCTGAGCTCCCAGAGGATCCAGGTCGGTCTCTGCAGATAACTCTCACCTCATCCTCCTCAGATTTGTTTTTCTTTGTCTTAAGAATTTTCAAGGCTTCTTTCTCCCTTTGCCCCAGATCCCAGAGGGAGAAGGTAGGAACAAGATAAGACAGAATAATGTTATTCAATCATCAGACAAGCTTCTCCATCTGATATTTTTGGTTAATTGTTTTTATTTTTCATAAGAGAGGATTCAGCTGAAGGGGAGGCTCAGAATGACTGCAATATAAAGACAAAAGGCACCAGGAAAATGTTTGTTTGTTTGTTTGTTTGATAGGAAGCAAGAGGATAGGAGCAAAGAGAGGAGGCTGTTGGGGCAATCCAGGGATTAGCAAGGGGAGAACAGCTGATGGTGAAGAGATGAAGGTTCCTAGGGTGATAGGGATCACAGCACTAATTTAAATGGCTGACCGTGGAAAACAAAATGCCAAGATGCCTTGGGCAGAGATGTCTTCCCATTCATGAAACCCGGGGAAAGTAAGAGTGCAGATGTGATGCTGCAGGTCCTCAGAGTCCAAGCTAAGAGTCAAGCACAAGTGTGGGAAGGGAAAAACCATGAGCTTACAGCCTGATGGACTATACAACCAGCAAGATATCTGTTCACTCTCTTTTTAGATGCAAAGTGAAAAGAACAGCGATCAGGGTTCAAGTCTTGGTTCTGCCTCTACTTTGCTGCATGCTTTGGGTAGGATGTTGCACTTTTTGGAATCCTAGTTTTCTTCTCTGTAAAGTGAATCAGTTAGGTAAGATGACCTCTAAGATCCTTTCCAGTTCTGACATTCTGTGATTCTCTGGGGACTTAGTGCAGTATTTCTTCTTTGTTTGCCTGGATTTCACTAGTTTAGGGAACTTCCCCAGTGGGAAACTCACTCTACTGGTAGAACCAGCAGCTCTTCTGTAACTCATTGTTAAGTCACAAGAGCATAGATCTAGAATGGAAAGAGACATGAGAGGTCATGGAGTCCAAAGCCTTCATTTTGTAGTTGGAGAAACCAGTCTTGAGTCACTAAATATCTTGGCCAAGGCTGAACAGGTAGAAATGTCAGAGGTAGGACCTGAATCCAGGTCCCCTAATTCCACAGCCAAGATCCCTTCTACTATACCATGCTGCATCTTTAATGGACTTGGAGAGTCATCTTCACTACTGAGAGGTAAAATGATTTCCCCAGGATCATAGAGGCTGCTAGGTGGCACAGTGAATAGAATGCCAGGCCTGGAGTTCAGTCCTGGAATACCTGAGTTCAAATCCAGCCTCAGACACTTCCTAACTGTGTGCCCTGGGCAAATCACTTAACCCTGTTTGCCTCAGTTTCCTCATCTATAAAAATGAGCTGGAGAAGGAAATGGCAAACCACTTCAGTATCTTTGCCAAGAAAACCCCCAAATGGCACCACCAGGGGTCACATATGACTCAGCAACAACACCAGGGTCTCAACCCACATGTGTCAGAAGACAATTGAACCCAGGTACTCCTACCCCTGAATATGTCTTTCTATCCACTAAATTTTGTCATCTCTCCCACCCTCTATATTTCACAGGAAGATGTAGTTCAACCCCGGTGAGACCCTCTAAAGGTCTCTAGCAGCTCCCTAGCCCAATGCTTCAGACAGAAGCTCAGAAATAACATGAGTGGGATGCTGTGAGGGGGCAGGGCTCTTCCTGGGTCACAAAACAATTGCAGAGAGTGAGCCTGGCATGCCAATGTTAGTTCTTCCTCTGGAGGACTGGCTTTGGAGGGTCCCTCGTCTGACCTGGAAACTCTGGGGCCAAGAAGGCTCCACTCTGCAGCTGGGCCACGTTGTAGCTCTGAATGGCTCCTTCTGTTTGAGGAGTCCAGGGGGGTGTTTAGCATGCATTCCTGCATGCCGGGAGGTGGAGACAGGGTGCTAAGGGACACTCCCAGGAGGCAGCATCAGGCACCATGACAGAGAGAAAGGAAGTGACCTGGAAATGCCAAACAAGGAGAGGGGATGGCCCGAATAGCACAGAGCTGCTCGCTGCCATCGATAATGCACCAGGCATAGGCTGGAACCTCATCTTGGTTAGCATTCGGCGCACTGTAGGACTATCCTGGTGTGGGCTGCAGCCGCAGAGATTGACAGGGTGGAGATTAATCTCCCTGCCTCTGGGATTGGAGGCCAGAGCAAAGAAACAAGCTGCTTAGGTTTTCTATCACGTCCAGTGTTACCTCAAACAGCCGAAACGTCAAGGCCCTGACCCAACGCTGCCTTTTCAGCAGAATGCACTGATAATCCTAGGCAGTCTAAACTGTAATCCTTCACGCGTGATTTCAGCCCTGAACAAAGCAAGGCGAAGATACAAAACTTCTATTCTCTGCCCTCCTGCTCCTTTGCCCTGGGGCTCACTCTTTAGACCAATCACAGAATGATAGACTGTCAGAACTGTGAGAGGGGACCCTGAAGACGATAGAGTCCAAACCCCTCATTTTAGAGAAGAAAGCACTCACTGCCTTGTACCATATATCACTGGGCTATTGGAAGGGATCAGCAAACATCAATCCACAAGCATTTATTTGCATCTATTTTGTGCCAGCCACTATGCTAGCCACCAGGGATACAAAATGTTAAATAGTCCTTGACCTCAGAGAGCTTTTATTCTATCGGGGAGACAACATGTACATACATACATAGAGAACACATGCAAAGATACATGTATACATTATATATATACAACGTTAGATACAAAATAAGAGAAGGTAATTCTGGGGGGAAAGTACCTAGCAGCTAGTGGGTGCTGAAGCTGAGTCTCAAAGAAAACTAGGGGTTCTAAGAGGCAGAGGTAGCACAGTGGAAAGAGCAACATACTTGGAGTCAGAGGATCTGGGTTCAAATTCTGCTGCTATCATTTGCTAACTGTGTGATCTTGAGCAAAGTACTTGACCTTCCTGGGCCTCAGTTTCCACATCTATAAAATGTAGGGGTTAGACTAGATGTCCTCTAAGGTCTCTTTCAACTTTAAATCTATAATCACATGACAGATATATAAAGGACTGTCAGGTGAGGAGGGAGTGCATTCTAGGCATGGAAGAACAGCCAAAGCAGAGGCATAGAGATTGATTTCCATTGAGGAAGAATCACAACCCATCCATAACCGAATATGCAAATCCTATGTGTCTCTATGGCTTAGGTTACTTGCCCAGGCTGTTATGTTTCAGAGGCAGGATTTGAACCCAGTTCTTCCTGACTACAAGCCTAGGACTCTATCTACTATGCCATGATGCCTCTATTCTATGAAATATTCTTGTAAATAATTATTTACAAGGAGTTATTCTTATAAATAATAAAGCAGAGAAATGTGAACTGCTATTAGCATGTGACATGTTAATTTATGAAAATTTCATCTAAGCTCTCCCAAGCCACAGACTCTAAGGCACCATATGCTAGTGTTGGTAGAACACAAAGTCTCTTCTGTCCAAGTCCCAAGTATTCCAGGATGCACTCAGAGCCTGCTCTAATTCTGGCTACTGAAAGCCTCACACTTTAAAAAAAAAAATCTATCACACCAGCATTGACGGTGTGAGAGAAGTGTGCAAAAATAGCCCCAAAGTACAGAAGGAGAAAAAGCATCCTACTTACCACAGTGTGTGCATGACGTGCTCACACCTTGTGATAGGCGCCTCTGAAGGGTGGGGAGCCCCCAACGGAAAACAACTTCTTTCTTCCTTCAACTTCCAAAGGGGCCACTCACTCTTAAGATGTACAGAGTTTGAGCCATCCTGCAACCAGGAAGCAGCCATGAGTTCTGATGAACCCAGAGCCCAGCTTGTAACTGCTCTATCAGGCCTTTCTGAGCCCCAAGTCCAGTGTTCATGCCACCTAGCTGAACCCAGCAGATTATTTTATCTCCTAGACCACATCTTGCCATCTCATCCACAAGGGTAGCATGAGAGATCCCACCACATACCTTGCTGAAATCCATATATGCTATCTGGCATCTCCTTGGTTTACCAGTCTGGTACTCTCATTAAAACAAACAAACAAATGAATGAATGAATGAAAAAAGAAAGGTAAATAGATTACTTTGGCTTGATATAACTGTGGTGATCATGATCTTTGGCGATCATCCCTTTCTTTTCTAACTTTTAAAGAATCATCCTTTTAATAATATGTTTTAGAATATGGACAGAAATCCAGTTCCAACATATTGACCTGTCTCTTCTGAATTTACCTCCTTTCCAATTTGAAAATCAGGACAGCATTCACCCAGCTCCAGTCCTCTAGAATCTCTCCCAATCTTTACAACTTTGTAGAGACTGTTAACAGCAGCATAACCACCACACTGCCCATTCTTTCAGAATCCTGGAATGTTCATTAGGCCGTCTTATCATCCCATCTCGGATTGTCACTGTTTTAGCCTCCCATTCTATTGCTGAGCCATGAATCCAGCCAGAGGTCTCTGCTGCCTAAACATTGCCCAGTGTCTGTGAATCTTAATTTCCCATTGAAGCTAAATATGGTTCCCTCTCGAAGATTTTTAAAAAATCTTTAGAGTTAACAGCCCTACCTCCTATGAGGCACCAGTTCAATTCAAGAAATATTTGTTAAGCATCTGCTAAGCATACAGTCCTATGCTAGGTAGTGGGGATATACAAAATAGATCATTTTCAGGCCCTGCTCTCCAAGAGCTTACAATCAGGGCAGCTAGGTAGCACAGTGGATAGAGCATTGGCTCTGAAGTCAGGAGGACCTGAGTTCAAATGTGACCTCAGACCAAACACTTGACACCTACTAGTTGTGTGACCCTGGGCAAGTCACTTAACCCCAATTGCCAAAAAAAAGAGAGAGCTTACAATCCAATATGGCACAAGACCTGTCCAAAAGGAACTGGTTCCTTTCTAAATCTAGGATCTTATGAATTATGTCACAACAGAAAATGTGATAAGTGCAAAGGAGAAGCACAAAGTTCTAGGAGAAACTAGAGGGGTAAGAGACCATTTTTATGGAACTTAATAAATGCTGTTGATTAGAAAGAGTAAGAGAAGTCTCTAGAGAGAAGGTGGCCCTGTCTGGGCCTTGAAGGGAGAGAATTTAATGTAGGGTGATCTCATCAGCTAGGTGGCAGAGTGGATAGAGTGCCAGACCTGAAGTCAGAAAGGCTCATCTTCCTGAGTTCAAATTTGGCCTCAGACACTTACTAGCTGTGTGACCCTGGGCAAGTCACCTAACTCTGTTTGCCTCATTTCCTCCTCTGTAATAAAATGAGCCTGGAGAAGGAAATGGCAAATCACTCCAGTATCTTTGCCAAGAAAACCCCAATAGGTTATGAGGAGTTGGACATGACTGAAAATGACTGAACAACAAAACAGAAGGTACTGTAATGATAGCTTCTAAGCCAATGCTGTCCTGGAACATAAAAAATGGCAGTCATCCTACACTGAAGCCGCAGAAAAAGTAACAACAATGTTGAACTATTATTTTAACCCTGAGGATACAAAGAAGCCTTCACTGATTCATAGGAACTGATGCAGAGTAAAGAAAGCAGAACCAGAAAAACAACACGTGTGACTACAAAAATGGAAAGAAAAAAACCCCACTAAAACAAAGCTAGACACTCTCAAATTATGATGACCCAACTTTACCAGAGAACAGAGGGGGAAATGATGTGTTCTCGTTTCCTTAAAAGAGGGTGGAGGAATATAGGTGCAGAATGTTGTATACAATGTCAAGCGTATCCACAAATAAATCGCTAAATCTAGGGCTGGAAGAGATCTCAGAGGCTACCTAGTGCACACCAACGAGGGAAACAAAGCCCAAGGAACTTCAGTGATTTGTCCAAGAATACACAAGAAGTCAAACTCAAAGGTAAGATTTGAAAACAAGTCCTTTTGTCTCCAATAGCAGGGCTCTTCATTTAGTTTTGCTTAACAAAGTGTTGATGTTAGAGTGGTACACTCAAAGTGACTATGATAGCAAAACAAAAAGCAGCAATAGAATGTGAATAAAAATAAGAGGCTTCACAGAATAACTGTTCCTCCAGGGCTTATAAGCACAGCTACTGAAGACCTAGAGAAGAAAGTTCTTGTCACCAGAGTCCTTGGCACTGCCAAATGGTTCAACGTTAAAAATTGATATCATTTTGTCAGTGAAAATGACATTAAAAAAGAGGCCTCACCATCTGCTTTGCCACTTCTTTCTATGCATCATAGGACCTTTCACTCTGGTTCATGTTATCTCCCCGATTAGAATGGGAGTTTCTTGAGATGTGGGGCTGTCTTCCAGCACACAGTAACCATTTAATAAATGCTTTATTCATTTATTCATTCATTAATTCAATAAAAAAAATGTTTCCTGCTTCCTTCTTCTTCCCTCCTCTCTGCCCCAACCATACTGCAGGCCTATGCCAAGACAACTCTGCCCATTTCTATGCTTCACATAGCTCCTGGGAATCCGTAGGAAAAAAAAAAATCTATCCTCCATAAGGTTCAACCAATCAGAGATCTCTGGAATTTCCAGGACCTTGGTCATTATCATTAGCTTCTGTTTCCTCTATGCAAGAGGGAGACCAGAAAGCAGCTCTTCCCGAAAACCAAGGTCACCCTTTCTGAGCATAGTTCATTCAAATCTTGACCCTCTGATAAGCCTCCTACACTTCTCCCTTCCACCTGGAACCTTATCATCAGAAGACCCAGGTCTGCTCAGGTCCCACCTGAATAGAATATAATCTACAGAATGGCAAAGAAGAGTCCTGGGCTATACCTTTCTACCATCTCACCAAAGGAATATAATCTCCTCTTCCTCTTCTCACTATTTGCCAGGGGCTTTCATTTGGACTTCTCCATCTCCCTTGTCTCAGGATGATTTGTGCACTTGTCCTTCCTCCATTAAGCACATTACTAAGTATGCTAATCACTAAGTATACAAAGAAAGGCAAAGGACAGTCCCTGCCCTCAAGGAGCTCACTATCTAATCTGAGACACAACCAATAATGTACAAACAAGATATATAGAGGATAAATTGGAAATAATCAACAGAGGGAAGACACTAGAATTAAGTATTGAATATTGTATAAAATAAAATTACAATATACAACATATTAAATATTATGTCTAACACATACCACATGACATATGAAATGTTAATATATAAAATTCCTTAGGAGGAAAGTTAGCCCTACAGAAGAGAAGCCAGGTTGGGGGTGGGGGGACTACAAATGTCTCCAAGTACATGAAGAAAAGGTTAGACTTGTTCTTTTTGGTGCCAGAGGGCAGAAAAGGAGTGATGGGTGAAGGAATCTGCAGAGAAGCCAACTTGGGCTTCAAGTCAAGAAGTCAACAACATATATCAAGTGCTTATGATGTGCCAGGTATTGTGATAAGCACTAGGGACATGAAGAAAAGCAAAACCAGTTGATGTCAGAAAAATTCCCTAATAATTAGAGTCACCCAAGAGTGGAAAAGGCTGCCCTGAGAGGGGGTGGGCTCCCTCCCCCCACCAAAAATGGTCTTCAAAGGGAGGCTGGATGAGCACTTGTTTCCTACATTATAGTTGGGATTCCTTTCAGGTATGCTTTGGACTACATGTTTCTTCTGACTCTCAAGGTCTGTGATCTTTGTCTTCCAAGCACAAGGTATTTGAACAGAACAAACACTTATTAAATGTTTTATCAATAGATGGGTGGATGGGTAGATGGATGGATGCATAGATGGATGGATGGATGGATGGATGGGTGGATGGATGGGTGGATGGATAGATGTATGGGAAGGCAGAGAACCCACGTTCTAGGCCAAGCCAAGCCATAAACCCACTGTGTGACTTTTGACAAGTAACTTCTCTCTAGACATCAGTTTTCTCATCTGTAAAATGGACAAGGTTGTAGGGGTTGGGAATGTTGGACAAGATCCTTCAGGTACCTTCTACTTCTTACTTTCTTTGGCTCCTGGCTTATGCTTATTTATAGTACATGATCTGATAAGGAATGGCAACCTTCGCCTACATTAGGGAAGGAAAGCAGATGGCCATGCTTCAGGACAGCCTGATTCTCTGCCAAATTGGCTTCAGGAAAAGAGCCAGCCCTTGGCCCAAATCCTTTCTGATGCAAAACTCTTCAATAATAATAATAATTATAATTATAGCTAGCAACTACAAAGCTGGCAACTGCTTTACATGTTATCTCATTGGATCCTCATGACAGCCCTGTGAGGGAAATATTTACAGATAAGGAAACTGAGGCTGAGAGAAGTCAAGTGACTTACTTAAGGTCACACAGCTGAGAAATGTCTGAGACAAGATTTGAACTCAGGTGTTCCTGACTCCAAATCCAACACTCCATCCACTTTGGCACCTAGCTGCCTGAGGGAAGAGAAATTGAGTGGTAGGGAGTTTTATTCCTCAGGGAAAACAGGGAAGTGGGATTAACTCATTTGCCCCACAGGAGAATATGGCTGACTCTCTCTGTTGAGTTGCTCAGGGAAAAGAGGAAAGTGGGGCTTACTCACTGGCTGCCCACAAGAGAGGATAACTATCTCTCTGCTGAACATCTTTCCAGAGGAGAAAGGAGCCCCAAAGAATTACCCAGAGCTAGGACCTGGGCTGTATCTGTTTTCACCTACCAAAATGTCAGCTTCAGCCCCAGGCCAGTAAATCCCATGTCCAGCAGGAGAACTGTTTCCTGCATAAATCAGGATAAACCTGGCCTCTGAGTGCCACCTGATCTTGAATTTTCAAAATCACTTCATACATTAATTTACTACATCAATAATTTCCATACGAGGATGTTGTCAAGTAAGAAATACGGGGTGTGCTGACGGAGGCAGAGCTGCTGGGGATGATAAAAGGCTTGGCTTTCAGGGGAGACATAAAAACACTCAAACCACAACAGAAGATGCTGAAGAAATAATTACACTGAGTGATGCCAACTGTTGAGTGACTGAAAGAGTCCCAACCTGAGAACGTGATTCACACAATCAGCAATTAATAGCTTAGCCATGCTGGACCCTTTACTGAGAGGAGCTCAGAACCCAGTTGCACTGGGCCAAGCTGATCTGCCGGCTTCTTAGGGCCACCACCTGCCAGGCATTGTCTGAATAGTACCATTTTCCTAATGGGGAGATTCCCCAGGGTAGTTAGCAATTCTCCAATATGGCCTAGTACTGAGAAGCATTAAATCATAAAACTTAGCTTCTCACATGGTGGGAGGAAGGGTAGAGAGAAAGGGCTTTAGAGAATTTCAGAACTAGGAGGCACCTTAGGGATAATCTAGTTGAACATTCTCTTGGGGAAACTGAGGCCCACAGAGATCAAGAGACTTGCCCAAGGTCATTAAGTATCTCTTCCAATCTCTCAGCAACCAGGAAATTCAAACTACTGGGTAAGGGATTAAAGCAAGCAGCTAGATTGAAATTGCTTTGGGGAGATAAAAACATAAATTCAGGCTGACAGGTCATTATGGAAGATTGTTATTTTACAATGAAATTTACAAAATGCAATGACAGAAGATTCTGGCCACTTATATGTTGAGCTAGAGCACAGGCAGCTTAATTGGGGCCCCTTCCTGGAAGGGCCTGCTCACATACAGTATAACAGGAACCTGCCCTTCAGCAATATGGTAGCGCTGCCCAGATCTTGAGCAGGACTGGGCAAAATGCAGCAGAATCATCATCCTTTGCTAGAGGTGGGGGTGGCGTGAGGAAGTGGCTCTGTGGCTGCTCTGGACCACCTGAAGTCCATGTACTCCTGGCCTTGTTCCAAAGACATTTCCTCTCTGGGGAAGATCTAAGCAATACAATTATCCCAGGAGCAAAAATTTGGAGGGTTTGTATTGAAGGTCAGGGGGTGGATGGCCAACAGATTCTTTGATAGACTCTGAGCCACTCTATTAGCACTGACATCTGCAACCAGGGACCATCTCTGCTCTACCTAAACCAAATCCTGCCCTTCCTGGGATAGGAAATACTCAAGTATTAGCTTTCTATGATCAAAATCATAAAAATGTTAGAACTGGAAGGGACAATGGAGATCAGTGAATCAACAATTATTTCTTGAGCACCTACTATATGAAAATCGGGCATCTAGGTGGTATAGTGGATGGAGTACTGGGCCTGGAGTTGGGAAGACTCCAGGTCAAATCTGCCCTCAAACACTTACTATCTGTGTGATCCTGGGCAAATCACTTAACCCTGCTTGCCTTGTTTCCTCCTCTATGAAATGAGCTGGAGAAGGAAATGGCAACTCACTCTAATATCTTTGTGAAGAAAAATCCCAAAAGGGGTCACTAGAGTCAGATGTGACTGAAAAACAACTAAACATACAAACACACACATATGATAAGCACTGGGAATACAAGCACAATGAATGAAATAATTCCTACCCATGAGGAGCTCACCTTCTTTTCCGGGGTGGGGGGAGTGGGGAAACAAACAATATATATATAAAGAGGATAATTACAAATAAATACAAAGTAATTTGGGAGGGAGGGAACTAGCATTTGGGGGCTCCAGAAACCCAGAAGCAGAAGGTGGTGCTCCAGCTTCATCTTAATGGAGGAAAGGAATACTATGAGAAGGAGGTGAAGAGGAAGTGCATTCCAGGCATGAGGATTAGTGCAAAGGCACATAAGTGGGAAATCTTCGGAGGGTTAGGAATGAGGAAGAGTAAGATAATTTGGCTAGAGTGTTGGGTGTGTGAAGGGGAGTAGTACATACTAAGGCTGGAAAGAAAAGTTGGAGTCAGGTAGTGAAGAGCTTTAAACGCTATTGAGTGGCATCCTAGAGCAAGAGCTCTTAAGCTGGGATTCACTGAACCCCATGAGATCTATGGATAGTTTTCAGGATGTCTGTGAGCTTGGATGGGAAACATTACATCATTATTTTCACTAACCTCTGACTAACATTTAGTATTTCCTTCCAGTCACTAAAAATATGATTTTGAGAAGGGGTCTGTAGGTTTCACCAGACTGCCAAAGGGGTCCAGGACACAGAAAGGTTAAAAACCCCAGTCGTACAGATAATAGGAAGCCGGTTGAGTTTATTAAGCAGGGAAGTGACATGGTTAGATCTGTGCTTTAGGAAAATCCCCCAGGCAGTTGTGTACAGGATGGCCTGGAGCATGGAGAGACTCAACAGGAAGGCTGTAACTTAAGACACCTCAAAGGACCAAGCAAATTCTTCAATTGACATGCCTGGTCCTTCTGGATTAAGGCAGGGAGATCAATTAGGAGATTGTTGCAACAACTTAGGTGAGAGGTGATGAGGCCCTGAGCTAAAGTGAAAGGATTAGATGTGAGATATGTTGTAGCGAATGAAACAACAAGATGTGGCAACTGATTGGACAGGAGAGGCAGTTAGGATGAGGAGTCAAGAACTTTGAACCCCTGGGAGACTGGAAGAATGGCAATACCATGCTTTGTAAAAAAAAAAAATCCAGCCTGGATTCCTCATTTTGCAGAGGTCAAATAACTTGCCCAAGGCCACATAGCTACTAAGTAGAAGACCTAGAACCAGACCTTGGATTTCTGATTCCAAGACCTCAGTGCTCTTTCCATGATGTCATCTCATTCTTCCCACAAACAGGTCTTCATAGCAGTCACATTTTGTATTTCTGCAGTGATTCTCCATGTGCATTCCGGCCACCTTCATGCCTTGCCAATGGCCGCACTAGTTCCCCTACCTTCACCTCCCCCACCTCTTGTTTTCTGAACAATGATAAAATCAACAATCATTCCTGGAAAGAACATGCTCACAGTCACCATCCCTCTGACTCCCTGACCAAAACACCAATTCTTGGCTATTACAACGTAAGCTTCTTGATGGCAGAATCTGCCTCTTTTTCTTTTTTCTCTTTGTATCTCCAGCACTTAGCAGAGTGCCTGGCACCTTGCAGGTCCTTAAAAGTCCTGTTTCTTGGTTAATATGGAAATATGTTTTGCATGACTTCAAGTGGATAATTGATGTCATATTGCCTGCCTTCTCAACAGGTGGGGGGAAGGACTGGAAGGAAGGAGAGAATTTGGTGATTTTTTCCTAAATAATGTTGTAAACAAACAAATTTTAAAAAAGAAATATTATTTCATTTCATTCATCCTGAAAAGGATGATGTTTCCATTGGAGTCATAATCAAGCATAACAACCAAGCAAAATGACCAAACAAGATGCTCAAGCATTTCTTGATCTTGATTCTTTGACTAGGCCAGCCAAAGCAGTACCATGGAGAGAGGCACTTCCAGGGAGCCTTGCTAAGAAGGTAAACATGTAGGTGGTTGGGATTCATATTCTGGAGGGTTCAGAACCTCCCTTCTTTGAGCAAGCCTCTCAACCCTCTTTCATTCATTCAGGAAATACCTTCTTGGCCAGGCAGTGTGCTAGGTGCCTCAATTTTTTCAACACAAAGCTGGTGAGAAATTTTCTCAGCACAAAGAAGCAGGTGCCTCAAGTCATAGCACCTTGGCTCTGCTACTCACTCACTGTGTGATCCTGACTAAGTGACTTCTCCTTTCTGAGCCTTGGTTTTCTCCTTTGTAAAATGAAGGGATGGATTAGGCTGTCCCTGTGAATAATCCATGTCAAAGGGACCATGATTCTATTCAATAAACATTCAGCAAATATTTCCTGATATCAATTATGGGTAGTCCCCTGTGGGTACCATAGAGGAGGGGGATGCAGAGATCATTAAGATATGGTTCTTGTCTCCACAGGATTTATAATTTCTAACAATATTTCTAATAATTTTATAATTTCTAATAATTAATCATTCTACTAATAATTTCTAATAATGCATTACTTATGCAGCATCCCCCACAGAGCTGCCAAACTGCTATTCCTAAAGCCTAGATCTAACCATACCACTCTCCAGATGAAGGAACTTCAATGACTACTAGCGCTATCCTTCAAGAAGGACACACCCAAACAGTCTTAACTTCTGGTGTAGCAAAGAATTGGAAACAAAATAGATACCTGGATAAGTAAATTAGTCAATGGACAATTGTAGGGCATAGATGCAACAGAATATTAGCTTGCCATAAGAAATTATGAATCTGATGTACTTAGAGGAGTATGAGAAGATGTGAACTAAGGCAGAGCGAAAACCAAGACAATGAAATGCACAGACAGAGGCAGTTGGGTGGTACAGTGGGTTGGAACACTGGGTTCTGAAATCAGAAAGACCTGAGTTCAAATTTGTAACCAGACACTGTAATTCTCAGATACTGTAATCCTGCGCAGTCATTTAACCTGTCTGCCTCAGTTTCCTCAACTGTAAAATGGGGAGCATGATAGCATCTACTTTCCTGGACTGTTGTGAGTATGAAATGAGACAATAATTGTAAAGCACCTAGCACACAGAAGGCACTTAATAAATGCTTATTTCCTTCCTTCTTCCTAAACAGAACCAAAAAAAAAACAACAAAAGATGAAACTGAATACTAGTTAATTATAATGAACAAACTTGGCCCTGTAGAAGAGGTGAGAAAATATGTTTGAAATATTGCATGTATTATCAGAGTCATCTGATATGTTGGTTAGTTTTGTTGAATGGATATTTTTTTCTCTTTCATTTTTTATTCTTTTTAATAAGCAGCTAGATGGTGCAGTGAATAACAGCACTGGGCAGAGAGTCAGGGAGATCTGGGTTTAAATCTGGCCCCAGACACTACTGGTTGTGTGGCCCTGGGCAAGTCATTCAACCTCTACCAGTTTTCTCATCTGTAAAATGGGATCATTATAGCACCTACCTCCCAGGGTTGTTGTGAGGTTCAAATTAGATGATGACTATAAAGACCTTAGCATAGTGTCCGGCATGTACTAGGTGCTGTATAAATGTTAGTTATTATTATAACTAATAACTTGCTGGGGAGGGAAGAGGAGAAGAATATTTGGCAATAAAGATGATGTAGGAACAAAAGATGTTAATAAGAAAGAAGTTGCAACAGTTCCTTATTGCTTCTGGAATCAGTGGCAAAACTCCTCTGTTGGCATTTAAAGCATCTCATAACTTGGATATGGTCCATCCTTCTAGACCTATTTACATCAATACCCTCCCCTGTGCATACCTGCACACACACACACACACACACACACACACACACACACACAAACACACACTACAATCTAGTTATTTGCTGAAAATGATATTAAATCTCCTGCCTCCATGCCTTTGCATAGGTCATCCCCCAGGCTATCCCTCCTCACAAGTATCTCTTGAAATTCCTAGCTCCCTTCAAGGCTTAGCTTAGGTGGCACATCCCATGAAGCCCTTTCCTGATCCTCCCAGGTGTTAATGCTTTTTCCACTTCTCTATATTTATTCCACACATATTTTACATTTATTTCTGTGAACATGTTATATCCCCTCAGTAGAATGTAATAAGCTCCTTGAAGGCAGGAACTGTTTTGCTCATGTCTGGGTATCCTCAGCACCCAATATAGTGCCTTGTGTATGGCAAGTACTTGTTGCTATAGTTCAGAAAGGCCCCCACCCATCAAGTAGACCCTCGTGAATGATATGGATGAGAGTAGAACTGGATTGGGAGGCATGGATGGGTTATAATCTGCATGACTTCAGAAAACGCCCATATTGACGAGTTCACAGGTTGAAGTACCAAAGAATTCTCAGCTTCCAGCATGAGGTTCCTGTACAGCTTAAGTGCTTAATAAAAGTTGGTTGTATACCTTCCAACTACCTTCTATTTATCTTGTATGTACCAATTGATGTAGATCTTATCTCCTCCATTTGAATTTAAACTCCTAGAGGGCAGGGACTATTTTGCATTTTCTTGACAGCACCAGGCCTGGTCTAGTGCTTGGTACATACAAGTGCTTAATGTTTGTTGATGTAAAATATCTGAGGTAGCTAGGTGGCACAGTGGATAGAGCACTGGCTCTAGAGTCAGGAGGACCTGAGTTCAAATGTGACCTCAGACATTTGACACTTATTAACTATATAACTCTGGGCAAGTTGCTTAACTCCAATTATCCCACAAAATAATAATAATAATAATAATAATGAAGTATTTTAAAGATGGAGGGGGACATACAAAGTAACCTGAAAAGCAGAAGAAACCCTGGTTTCTAACATAGCTGCTCTGCCACACCTTAAGATGTGGAAATAACACAAAATCATGAAATTCTGAGTTGGAAGGAACTTTAGAAATCACCTCATCCAACCCTACTGGATACGTGAATTCTTTTCTAGCCCATCTCTGACAAACAGTCATTCAGTGTCCAGCTGGAAATCTCTCTCCATTATTTCCAAAAGAGGGTGATCTCCCGGACCATCTCCAATGTTCTTACCAATGAATCCCACATCTGGAGATGCTGTCTGGCTTCATGAATAGGATGCCCTTGCTCTGAAACTGTTTCATGAGAGTGATCTTGTTTGTGGCTCTGTGTCTGACCTACCCAGATCAGCAAGGAAGGGGATGGAAATAAATAAATATCAAGCGCATTATAGGACAGGGTCCCCATACCATGTGCTCCTCAAGGATGTTCAGGCAAGGAGAACTGGTCTCCAAAACTTCTCCATGCCTATCCTTTGCTTCTTCTGCTATAATGCACACGTTTCACTGGCAGCTGAGCTGGAGCTTAGAGATCGTGGCTACCAGTCTAAAAATGGGTCTAGTGGTGTATTCAGAAGCATGACTAAGCAGCCTTCCTGCTTCCACTGAGGCTGGACTCCACCTGCATAATACAAGTGAACCAGACTAACCTCTACACTTCTCTCTGGGTCCCATCTCTCACCCAGCATTGACAGGAAAAAGACCAGGTACACAAAGCTCCTTCTCAGGTACCCAAGTGAGTTACAATACACCATAGGGGAAGTGCTGATAAAATCAGTTTACAAAAAAGGGCATTCCCTATAATAGTGGCCCTTGATGAAGAAATTCCCCACTATCCTGGGAAGTGGAGCTGAGGGCAGCTGGTGAGAAGACATCTCCATCCGAGCCACTGTCCCATCATGGCCTGGACCACTTTCAGGAAGCCTTCAGCTGCTGTTGCTGCTGCTTCTCTAGTATAGATCTTTTACAAAACCTTCAGACTGCACTTCAATTGATTTCCTGGCTCTCTCTCTTTCATTTATTTTCTGTGTTAAGAGCCTGGCAAGACTTTCTCAAAACATTAATCAAGCTAACTTCATTGAGCTTTTTATGCTTTCACACACACACACACACACACACACACACACACACACACGCGCACACACACGCGCGCGCACACACACACACACAGCTTCTTGTAGTAAGATGGATTTTTAGTGACTTAATTTTTGAACATTATTTCAAATGTGGGGGGGAGTCACAGCTCAAATCCTTTGATACCTATCATTTTTTAAAGTATTCACTTAAAAATTTCAAATTGAACATCAATACAAACAACTAAATGTGCCTAGTGAATACTTATCTTAATTATGATAGAATCGCAGATCTAGAGTTACAAGGGACCTTAGAGATCAAGCTAGTCCAAATCCCTCCCTTTACAAATTAGGAAAATGAGACCCACAAGTTTTAAGTGACTTTCCCAGTGTCTCAGAGGCAGTATGCATCAGTGGTAGGATTTGAACCCAGGTCCTGTGCCTCAAAAGCCAGTACTCATTCCATTGTCTCATGCTGTCAAATGAAGTAATATGCTACTTCAGTCCCTCCAACCTCCTATAAGGATTCTTTGTCCATCTACACATTCACTTTTCCTTGTATGATCATTGTCACACTGTGTATCTTTACCCTAAATTCTGCTTTTTTAAAAAAAAATTTCATAGTTTCATAAAGTTCTTCCCAGATTTCTTTGAATTCATCATACTTATTGGTCTTAATTGCATTAGTATTATATGACATTAATTTCTTATCCCCTTTCCATACTGTAAGCTCTATGAGAGGAAGGGTCAAGACTTATCCAATTCTGTACCTCCTCCCATAAACACAATTGTCTCTTAAGAATTGAAAATGAAAGGGAAAGCTAGGTGGTGCAGTGGATAAAGCTCTGGCCTTGGAGTCAGGAGAACCTGAGTTCAAATCTGGCCTCAGACACTTGACACTTACTAGCTGTGTAACCCTGGGCAAGTCACTTAACCCCCATTGCCTCACCAAAAAAAAAAAAAGATTTGAAAAAGATTTGACATACCGTCAAGAGACCAGCGTATGGTGGGTGTGATCAGACTGCAACATATAACCAACAGGTAGCTTCAAAGAATAATAGGAGTAAAAGATATCATCAGGAACATATAGGATAGGAAGAGAACACTGTCTGGTCATATAGTGAATTGAGGTGATAAGATGACTGGTGCCTAAGAGCTCTGTTGGCACCCTTGAAAAATCAGGGGAAATTGAGAAAGGTCTCCAGCATGCTTGTTGAGTTGCTAGGACTACAGGGATACAAAAATTATTATATCTACAGCATGTATTAAGCACCTATTGCACACTGTTCTCGGTTTTGAAGGAAATATAAAGGTCAGATAAAGACCCAAACCTGGAGAAGGAGGACTAGGAGAAGGAGGAGGAGGAGAATACATGATAGCTCTGCCTGCCAAGTCTGGCAGCAACAGCATTCTGCCACCCAAATGTGGTGGGTTTGTGTTTACCCAATGGTTCTTGGTGTCTCTTTTAAATACCAAATAGAGTCTATGCACATAGCTGCAGGCATTGCTTTCTACTGATCCCAGCATTAAGAGAGCTAAAATAACAGTTTCTAACAGTGTTTGTACGTTTAAGGAAAGGGGCACTTTACAAGTGTTAACTATTTCTTTCACACCCATTACTTCATTTGACTGTCATGCCAGCCCAGCCAGGACAATGAGGCAGGAGTTATTAGCCCTGTGCTTAAAAGTGACTTGCTCAAGGTCTTATGCTAGCAAATGTCAGATCTAGAGTTAGGGCTAGAACCTGAGTCTCTCAGGCCTTGTTCAGCTTTCTCTCCACTACACCCAGTAGCCTCTGCCTTTGGGAATCTGCCTTAAAAACCTACAGCCCTAGCCTTCTGCTTTGGAAGAATTAGGGCTGACTGGTTATCATGCCCACAGAACCCAGAATTTCAGTGTGTGAATTTGTCTCTATCACAATAGATGTCAGTGATTTACCAAATTGTTGCCCAATACACTCTGTCTCTGACTCCACAAAGCCAGAGAGCCAGGTCACCAGGTTGCCCAGCAATTTCATTCTGAAACCTGGGGTTTTCAATGCAATCTTGCTCCAGAACTAAGCTTCTTCTTTCAGATCACATTTTGCTACCATAACAAGGCAACTAGAAGGTGTCAAAACACAGGCTATCAAGACCTCTGGGCAGACATCTTGGAGCAACCTGCCTGGGGGTGTTAGAATGTCTCAGCTACCAACATTCAGGCTCCATCCTCTACTCATTCCCATGAGAAGGGGCCACTGCAGTTTCTTTTCCACTCAGGAGACACACTGGCCATATGGGTTCAGCTCCCTCCCTCTTTGAGCTTTTTCTAAGGAAAAGTACTGATACTTATTCCAG